ACCCAGGCCTGAGGACAGTTTTTTTCCCTCTCTTTGAGGCACTGGCCTGGAGTTTTCCTTTACCAATGGATATATTAAGGGGATGGGAAGACACCAAGGAAGGTAGGGTGATTTCCTGAGAGATAGCCACATCAACAGCTTCCAAAATTGGCAAATTTGTGTCCTGGATGAGTGTCCTAGAACTTAAAGATGAATCCTCCACACCAAGCTGATTTCCTGCATCCTGCAAAGATTGAACTTCGAGGCCAACTGCTCTGCCATGATTTGGACCCCAGGATATTGACACAGACCCCAAGTCTTTAGTCTGGTTAGATTCTGGTTTAACAGCTGACTCTACATCTAAGTTGTCTTCCTCTGGGTTGCCCTTATGCTGTGGAGATTCTGTTGCTGTAGTTCTTCTCTTCTTACACGGCATCATTTTAAAAGTCCCACTTTTATTCCATCCTAAAAGGATAAAAAAGTTCTTATCAACTTCATATTAATTAATGATAATAACATTTTATCAATTATCTTTTCATTTTATTCACATCCAATCACAAATACAATTCTTTACACAAAATGCACAGTATTCCATTAGGTAGAAGAAGAGAAATAATGATTAGAGTGCCTGAGTTCAAATTCCAACTTTACAACTGATTAGTATGTTACCTTGGCCAAATGATTAAAACTCTGTAAACTTCTTTTTTCTCAACTGTTAAAAAAAAAAAAAGTTCAAAAAATTATTCTCACCTGAATTGTTACAAATATTAAATGGTAGCATAATATTTTTTTAAAAAAATTAAATGGTGGTGATTAATACATGTGTTATTATTGTTACTATCATCAAGAAGGTAGAACAGTATGATGCTGAAAGCAAATATATACTCTAACTGGATTTGTTTCTCAAGTTAATTTCACTCCAGCTTTGTAATCTTGCATCAATAAATTAACCTAAAGTTTAGTCTCTCCAGCTATTAAAAAAAATAAAAAGTGCACCCACATCATTAGCTGTTAAGAAAGATTAATAAATGTTTGCTTCTTATGTATTCATAAACAAGTATATCCTTAACAATCCAAAAGCAAAAGCAAAGTGTGCTTAGTTATATTAACACAAAATTTCTGTTGGAACAAGGAAGAGATTTCTACTGTTCTCTCCATTGTTACTCTGGACTCTTGGCTTCAATTCTAGTTATCATATTGTAAGGACAATAACTAGCCTAAATGCAGCACACCTTCCTTTATATCCTTAGAGCATCTATTTGCAAACTGCTTTTATAGTATTTACTACCTTTGTAATTATATCTTTACTTTTCTGTCTTCTTCCTCCAAAACTATGAGCTTCTTGAGAAAAATGACTCCTTCACCTAGCATCCCTAGTATCCAGTAGTATTTGGATATTGGAAATACTCAATATATGGTTTCCTGAGTAAGTGAATGAATGAAAGAGGGCTTGAACGACTGCGCAGCACTTGGATTAAGCATTATGTGAAAACTAACAGCATTGTTCAATCCAGGAATACTTTACTCTCATAAGTAGGCCCAAGACAGAATAAGCTGCCTTGAGTTAACAGAGGGTTCTCCATCAATGACAATATTCAACCCAAGTCTGAATGCCCACCTAATAGGGAAAGCCTGGAAGCCTGGACTACCTCTGAGAGTTTGACCTGTAAGATTAGTATTAAACCTCCCTAATTCCGTTTCTTTAGAACATCGGTGGAAACGCCCAAATCAGTCAATGTTCTTATCTTGACAAACTTCAATAATGGGAAGATGTCTGGTCCCTGTGAGGGAGGGTGGTGAGGGAGTAAGGAGTGGCGTGGGAGTAACCTACACGACTCCTTCATTTACAGATGAGTTACTGAGGGCCAGAAGAGAAAGGGAAGAAATTAGAAAAAGCAAAAGCTGCTACTATTCAGTCAGGAGCGTGCAGGGGTCGGCTCCAAGCACCTCACACACTGCAGTAGCTCAAGAGTCCACTCCCTCGGGAGCCTGAGTCCGACCGCAGGATGAATGAATGCCAGTCCAGAGGCAGCCGAGGCGCGGCCTCCTCCAGGGAAAGCTTTTCAAAAAGAGGTCCAAAATGCGCTATTCGCCTCGGCGCCAAGCGCTGGCCAAGTCCACAATACCAACCAGACAACGTCTTGCCCCTAACTCCCGTCCCGCACTCGGCGCCCACCTACCCACCCGACGCCCCTCATCCTGGACACCCTATTCACAGGCGCCACGGACCCCACCTGCCTCTTCCCGCCCCACCGCGCACTACCCAGTACCCTCACAAACCGACCTAATCCCGCGGAAACTCAGCTCCTGCACCAGCGGAAGTCAGGCAACGGCAGCGACTGACGTGCGCGCCCCCGAGTCGCGGTGGGCGGCGACTAAGAAAGTCAAGGAGCATGCGCAATATGCTAGGCGCCATCCTCTTCAGGGTCGAATGAAGCCAGCGCTAGTACGTCGGTTACTGGCAAAAAAAATTAAAGGCATGACTTCGCTTTTTCTATCGATGAAACTATCTTGCTCAAAACTGGGGATTGAGATTCAAAACATCCCTACATCCCTACGAAACTTCCGGGACATAGGAAGAAACCAAGACCTAAAATTTCAGAAAGAGGGATCTAGATTATTAGTTCCTGCCGGCGCCGCGCCAGTCTGTAATCCCAGCGACTGGTGAAGCAGGAGAATCGCTAGTTCAAAGCCAGCCTCTGCAAAAGCGAGGCTCTAAGCAACTCAGTAAAATAAATAAAATATAAAATAGGGCTGAGGGTGGTAAAGAGCCCCTTGGATACAATTCCTGGGGGGAAGGGGGTCCAGATTCCTAAATAAAACTAAGGCCAATTGGGGCGCAATAACACACACCTCAACACAGGGAGGTTGAGGCAGGAGGGTCGCAAGTTCGAAGCCAGCATGGCAATTTGGCGAGACCCTGTATCAAAATAAGAAATAAAAAGGCTGGGAATGTAGCTCAGTGGTAGAGCGTCCCTGGATTCCATCCCCAGTAAGCGGTGGGGGGGCTGGGACCAGCAGGACAAAACAAACAAATGTCGATTTGGATTCAAATTACAGCAAATTATTTAGATCTATATAATACTCTTCATTTTTAAAATGCTTTCATTTACATCATCTTAGATAGTTTGGTCTTCAGAATAAACTGTGAGCCAACGGACATTATTAAATTTTCCAGTTTGCAAAGGACAAAGTTCTGGCTTAGCTGAATAGGTGATTTTGCCTAGGTACACCCTAGGAAAATCAAGAGCAATCAGGCATCAGGCATCCTAAGTTTATCTCCTAATGCGTGACTCATGAAGGAAAGTTTCCGGGGGCATAGTCAATATTCAATAATTCGATACATGTATTTTGAATGAATGAATGACATCAAGGACCAGGGTCTTTGTGTGTGTGTGTGTGTGTGTGTGTGTGTGTGTGTGTGTGAGAGAACTGGGGTTTGAACCCCAGAGGCGCTTTACTATTGAGCTATATCCATATCCCTACCCCTTTTGGGTTCGGTGAATTCCTTGGGGGCCTCACTTAATTGCAGAGGCTGGCTTTGAACTTGCAATTCTCATGCTTCAGCCTCCACACTCCTGGTTCTTTCCACTTTTCTGGAAGGACAGAATGTCCAAACTAGGAAAATGTGACAGGCTTAGTGGCACACTCCTGTAATTCCATCAGGTCGGGAAGCTGAGGCAGGAGAATTAGAAGCTCAAATCAAGCCTCAGCAATTTAGGAGACCCTGTTTCAAAATAAAAAGGGATGGGTATGTAGCTTAGTGGTTAAGTACCATTAGGTTCAATCCCCGGTATACCCCTTCCCTCTCAAAAAAAAGTATTTCGCTCCCTCATTTTACAGATGAGCAAAATAAAGGGTGAAATTAATGTAATCATGGCTATAATCGCCAGTAGTTTGACGAGAATCACATTGTCTCATAAATTAGCAAGGAAGTGTCCAAAAGTCTAGAAGTTTCACTTGGGTCCTCCTTTTTTTTTTTTTTTTTTTTTTTTCAAGTGAGGGGAAGACAAGAGGTCTGAGAAGACAAGAGGTCTGGGGATCCGAAGAAGTTGCCCTGACTGGCCTCCAATGTATAATCCTCCTGCCTCGACCTTTGGATAGCTGGAATTCCAGGTATTTTCCACCGTTTCTGCCTTGTGTCTTTTTGACCTACAAAATACACAGATCTTTTGGGTTACTGCTCCTACTCCTCCTTTCCTATTCAACCCTAAGCAGTTACCACTCATAGAAGAAGAATATTCAACACTAATTAGGCACTTTAACACTAATTCAACACTTAGGCATTTTCATAATTTTTTAATGGTGAGTTGTTGTTTTTTTTCTTAATTTATAAACCACAAAAATCCATCAGTTTTCCATAAAGAGTTCAATGATTTTTGTATATTTTCAGAACTATTGCACCTCCTCTCCAGGTTTGGTCTTTAATCAGAGTTTCTAGAGTTTTCCACAATTACCTTCAGTGGTCTCAGAAATGTGAGACAATAATGGCAATCAGATACTGAAATCCAGGCAGTATAGGATTTTTCCAAAAACCTGAACCCAGAACATTCTGCTCCTATAAAACACCCCTGAGAAGCAGAATTAAAGAATCGATGGACTCTCATAGAATAATCTACCTACACTTTCTCCCTGCCCCGCCTCCAGAGCCCAGGGTACTGGGAATTGAACCTAAAGGCTTTTTACCACTAAGTGGGCATCCCAGCCCTTTTTTATTTATTATTATTTTTTTTAATATATCAAGTCAAAGTCTTGCTAAGTGCCCGAGACTGGCCTTGAACTTGAAACCCTTCTGCCTCAGGCTCCCGAGTAGCTGGAATTACAGCTGGACCTTCCTACCCTTCTTTCTCTGATTTAGGGACTTTCGCCTCAGTCACCCACTGCCCGCCAGTGGGCGGGACCTCACGCCCAGGAAAACTGGGTGGTGGGAGGGGTTCCCTTCGGAGGTCTTCCGGAAAGGGGAGGGACCTGCACTCCGGAACCCTTCGGACAGAGGCGGAGTCTCCTACCGAGGGCCTTTCGGAAAAAAGGCGGAGCCTATCTCTCATCAGGACCAGTCTGACTGCACCTGCATCCTTAGCTCAGAGCATCCCTGGAGCATCGTAAGAGGAGGGCGCAGCTGGCAACCAGGGATCGGACCGTCGCAGGGGACGTCCGCCAGATACCTTCCCCCTCCCGTGACCGACAGCTCCACAGCGGCGACCTCGGTACTGACCAGGGGTTCCCAGAGTGGTCTGACCATTACGAGAGCATTTATAGCCACAGCCTCTGATTACGACGACATGGCTGAGATCACCAATATCCGACCTAGCTTTGGTAAGTAGAGTCGGGAAAACTAAGCTTGAGGTGGTCAGAACCGTGGCAAAGCCACAGGGCCCGGCCATGGGCTGGGAGGGAAGCCCAGACAGAGCTTTCAAAGTGCCAACCCTGCTGGCATCGGGCCTCTGGTGGCGGGTAGCGGGGAGTGGACGGCGCCTGAACTTGAGCTGTGGGCTGCAGGGGCTGGCAAGGCCCGAGCGACAGCGAGGGCGGGGAAGTCCAGGGTGCTAAGACCTGGTGTGGTGCACGGTCAGCACTGCTGGAGGTGAGAACCGGCGACGGTGCGGAGGACGTGAACCCTCCTTCTGGGGGAGGAGAGGTGGGGCAGGCCGAGCCCTCCCCCTTGGGGCACGCAGGGCGGTGCCCCTACCTCCCCCTCCCACTTCTAAGGACTGCGGGGGAGGGAAGTGGCCAGGGGGATGGGGCATCAAGATGGCAGCTTGGAGACCGTGGGCTGTCTGGCTGGCAGCCAGGGGAGGCGGCGGCCTCCGGGGAAGAGGGGTGCGGGGGTGGGAGCAAAAAGGAAGCCACTCCTTAAACCGGTCAGCTGGATGCTGGTTCTGGGAGGAAGCGTGAACCCTGCAAGCTCCATTCTGCATCGTAATGGTGGGGTCCGACTGATGCTACCAAATGGCGCTAGGCGCTGCTGGGCTGGGGGATGAGGATGACGTGATGTCTATTTCTGGGCCTCCTGGCAGCGCCTAGGCTCTCCTTCCGGGGCCTTTGTTCCCTGTTTCCCCGGGCTAGCTTTTCAAAAAGGGGACTCACCCGCGCTGGTGCTGGCGGGGGTGCGTTCCAGGCCGGAGGGGGAGGGGCGAGAGAGGCCCAGCCCTGGGGAGGCCGCTTTGTGTACCAGAGAAAGCATTACGTCATCTCGGAGCGGCTGGTCCCGGACCCAGCCCTGTGAGCTTCAAGATCAGTTTTACACTCCTGGGGCAAAAAAAAGTGAGTGAAAAATAGAGAAAATGTGAGAGAAAGACAAGGTTAAGAAGCAAGTTTTTTCCTCTTTGGGAATTCCTCCGAAACGTACTAGGAGAGCAAACTTCTTAGGCTGTGCTTCCTGGTCAAATAAATAAATTAAATTGCCCTGCTCCTTCCTCTCTTCTGCTACAGTTTAGATTGGAGAAAGCGAATTAGAGTTGCTGCCAGACTAAGAACCTTCCTGTCCCTTAGGGTTTCTATCCCTCAGACAGAAGGTTTGAGGCATCCGATTTCAGTATTTAGGGTAGGCACATGAGCCAGATAGAAAATGGCTTTTCTCACTCCCCAGTAAGAACTATATGGAAAAGAGCAGACTCTTAATGTTCTCTAGCCCCTGGAAATAAGGAAGAACAATCAGACTAGGGGAAATAACAGATCTTCACACCCATTAACTGCTTGTTCCCATCTATTCCACATGGCTGAATCTTGATGGTATTTCTTTCTTCCCCTTCACCTTCTGCATCTCTATCCTGAGTCCTAAGTTTCTAAAACTGAAGTCCCTTTTTGTGATCACATGAGCAACCCATGATTTCTTCCTGCTGTTTTTCTCCTTATGTCCTCTTTCCAAAAGATACCTTTCTCTAAGTGCAGTTCCAGAGTCCTTGAAAAGTAGATGATGTAGAATACAATACAGTTATTTCCTTTATAGGGAATAATAGTAGAAAAGGGGAAAATACATGTCAGCCATTTGCATATAACATTCTATTTCGTCCTAAAAAGTACCTTCTGTTGTGGATATAATTACATAACAGATAAGCATACAAGCTCAAGGAACTTGGATAAAGTCAAAGGAACTAGTGAGGGTAGTGCTAGAATTGAATCAATGTCTGATGCCCAAATTCATTCTCATTTTACTATATTATGGCCAACTAGACAGTGAAGGGCTATGTTTAGGAAAAGAAGTGTAAATAAGCTGGTGTGAGCTGGTTGTGTGGCATAAGCCTGTAATCCCAGCAACCTAGGAAGCTGAAGCAGGCAGGTCCAAATTTAAGGATGGTCTCATCAATTTAGTGGGGTCCTAAGCAACTTAGCAGAACTCTGTCCTAAAATTTAAAAAATAAATAAAAAGAGCTTGAGAATGTATTTTAGTGACAAAGCAGCTTTGATTTCAATCCCCAGTAAACCACCCCCCACTGCCAAAAAAAATCGGGCCTTCTCAAAGATGAAGTAGCTAGAGTAGTTGGATTTGGCCCAGATGTGTCTTGCAATTCTCTAGACACTTACAGAGGGTCTCCTCCATAGAGAACTGCTGCTTCTGGCTTCTGGCTTCTTCACAGCTCATTGAGTACTTCATTTAAAACACTCAGAGCATTAGGTGAACACACCAAGCCAACAGTAAATTATCCATGACCTTGAAGGACAAAAGGAGCAAGCAACACAGGTCACTGCAATGTACAGCCACTTTAAATCACTCAATTCAGTCATTAATTCCAACTTCCTTTCCCACCAAGCTTTTGAGTAAAGCAAGACAGAAGGCTTTGAGTTTCAACATATCAGATTTTTCTCGTTCACTGCCTTGGGTGTTGAGGACAGAGGCAGGAGTTAACAAATTCTGAAATAGAGAAAGTAGGGCAAAGGTGGGAAACAGGATGAGGGAGAGCACCTGGGTAATCTATAGATGGGTTCATCTGTTTCTCTTCTTTCCTTCTCTGTCCTAAATTATGAGACTCTTTCATCTCTCTTTGCCACCTTGTCTCCATTTTCTTGAAAAAGTGGATGTATTTAAGCAGCAGTTAGTTCCTTCACAATCCCAGAGTAAATCTATGCTAGTGCCAGAAGAATTGCACAGATGTTTTCCAATCTGGGCCTTTAGTCTTCCCTTTCAAATCATTCTCAAAAATATACCTTTCTTTGTAGTTGTCAGCTTTTCTCTTTTTACAGGCAATTAGTGTTGAGTTTCACTAAGCAGTAGAAAGCAATTTGTAGAAAAGCCCCTGATTGAGGAATGAAAAGCCACTCCAGAATGTGGCTGATCTGATTGACAATGAGAATCTAATCAGTTGTTCAAATATTTACTGATCTCCCATTAGATGTGTAAGACACTCTAAGGGATTCAGAGACAAACAAAGTGTTATTCCTGCTTGCCCTCAAGGAGCCTACCACCAAGGATGCCTCCAGTTTTTGAAAACCCCCTAAAATCTGCATATTTCATTTCATATTTGAGACGGAACTGTATCCATGGACACAGACATAGTTACATTAATTTATTTTGGTAATGATGGTTTTGGGGGTTGGAGGTGTAGCTCAGTGATAGAGCATTTGCTTAGTATGTGTAAGACACCTCAAAGAAAAATAATAATTGTTTACTCCTCAGATATATCATTTTAAAATGTAACCCCTTCTTTTTTTATTGGTTCCCAACTTTTGTAGAGCCATGGAATGTTGAGGTAGAATTTCTGAGCCGTCTATTCCAATTCCTATTCAAACATGCCCGAATTTCATGATCTAACATCTTTGTTTGAAATTTTTCTATTGGAGAATAGCTCTCATCAAGCCATCCAGGTTACTGTGAGGCAGTTCTTTGTTTTTGTCTTGATTTGGGTTTTGGGACTTGGGATTGGGCACAGGGATACTTTACCACCAAGTTACATCTCCATCTCTTTTTTTATTTTGAGACAGGGTCTCCCTAAGTTGCTGAGGCTAGCCTTGAGCTTGTTATCCTCCTGCCTCCGGCTCCCAAGTCACTGAGATTACAGACATGCATCACCACACCTGGTTGTGAGGCAGTTCTAATAATAATTTGACTCTTTTCATTGAGTCAAAACTCTGTCTTTGGGGCTGGAGCTGTAGTTCAGAGGCAGAGTGCTTGCCTAGCATGTGTGAGACACTGGGTTTGATTCTTAGCACCACATAAAAATGAAATAAAATAAAGACATGCTGTTCATCTACTACTACAAAAAAAAATTTTTTTTTAAATATATCTTCCTATAACCTGTGCACATTGGTACAGGCCCTGTACTTGAATGGATCAAATCCAGCACCCTTCCATCAAAATATCTAACGTAATTTTAATTAAAGATGATTATTATTCCTAGATATCCCAGCTCCAGTTGCTTCAATTTTTCATTTGATATAGTTTCTAATTTTTTACTATAGTAATTATTCATGATGTAGAGAATGGACTATGGTATCAGGCAGACTAGAATTTAAATCTAGTACCATTTTTTAGTATGTAGCCTTAGACAGATTTCTGAATTCCCAAATTTCTTAATTAAAAAGGAGAGATATTAATGATCCTATTCAATGAGTTCTTTGATTCAGACATATCCCTGGCAGGGACATGATAAATGCACACACACACACACATACATACACACACATCAAAAAAAATAGCAGTTTTATTATTATCATTGCTATACAGAATGTTCTATATGTGCTGTGACCAGTGCAGATGAAATTATATCTGGATTTCATGCTTATGGTACAAGTTGATTTAACCTAAATTTAATCCAAGCCTCTGCTCACCGAAACTACTAAGTCATTTTGTCCAACTTTATCAAGTGAGGTTATTGCCAATAGGTAGGTTTTTAAGTCCAAGTAGAAATTTATATTTATCCCTGATATGTAATCATACTGACCTCATCCTCGTTTTCTGATCTCTGGAGGTTAGTTTGAATTAACTAACTCAGTTGTTCATTGAGCAATTACTATATACGACATGGTTCTAGAACCTGAGCCGTGAACAAAACAGGCAATGTCACTGTTATTAAACTTATCTAGTGAGGGAAGCTAGACAAACATAAGTCAGGGTAATAAACACTATGACGAAAATTAAGGAGGGTAATAGGGATATTTTCTCACTTGAGGCAGACAGGAAATGCTTCTCTGATAAGGTAGGGTTTGAGCAGAGCAATAAGCAATAAGCCATGTAGACACCTGGGAGAAGTATGTTCCAGGAAAAATATGGAATATGCTGAAATCACATTTATTTCCTTAGCTCTCCCTGTCTCCCGAGTCTTTCCTTAAAAAGTAAAGTGAGGGCTGGGGCTGCAGCTCAGTGGTAGAGCCTGGCATGCGTGAGGCCCTGGGTTCAATCCTTAGCACCACATAAAATTAATAAATAAACAAACAAACAAAATAAAGGTACTATGTCCATTTACAACTAAAAATGTTAAAAAAAAAAAAAGTAAGGTGAAAGCTACTAGCCCTTTCTAGATCTATAAAAGCCAAAACCCAATTTCCCTTCAATGAACTTGAGATAAAGGGAGGAGCCCAAACCTGATTATCTAAAGCAGGGTCCAGTAGTTGCGGAAAGAGACAAAATGAGGAAAAGTGAAGATTAAAAAGATCTGTTTCTCATTAGTTATTTGTTCATCAAACACATATATATCCACTGTATTTTAAACGCTGGGGATATAGCAATGAACAGAGCAGACAGAAAGTCCTACCCTCTTGAGGCTCACATACTAGAGAAGATAAAACAATAAATAGTAAAATTATGGGTGGTGTATATATTTATTTTTCTTACAGATGTGTGTATTTTTCTTGCATGCATGTGAGAGATAATGATGAGGCATATGAAAACATTAAACAGGATGAGGAAGTGCAGGTGTTGAAGGTGAAGAAGGTTGTACTTTTTAAATAGGGTAATCAACACTGGGGGTGCCTCTCAGTGGTAGAGTGCCTGCCCAGCATGCAAGAGGCCCTGGGATACATCACTAGCACCATGATAAATAAATCAGTAGGGTAGTCAGGAAAGATCTTGCTAAGAAGGGGACATTACGATGTGACATTTTCCCCAGTCCCTATTTCTTTCTATTTAAAATACTTTAAATATCTTGGAGCTGAAATTTTGGAATATATTTTGAAAGTATGCAGATCCAGAGTTGTTTTAACTACCCATAGTCTTATATTGCCCTTGGTCATCCCACCAAGACCATCTAAATTTAACGCTACAACTTCCCCCACAACCTGGCAGTCTACACCGGATCACTGTTTGCAAACCCTGTACTGGGTGCTATGGAATGTCCTCCTAAAACCAAAGTTGCAGCTTATGCCCTTGTATAAGAGTTGAGGTGAACAGGTCCCCAGGGAGAAAGGTGACCTTAGAATATAGACAGAGCAGCTTTATGGGAAGCACAAATCAATATGATCAAACCAAGTCTGTAACTACTGAGAGAAGATCAAGAAAAGAACAGAGAGACAGGTGGGCACTTCAAAGAAAGCTAAACATCTCATCCAGGTTTGGCAGAAAGGAAAAGGCATGAATTGGATGGAGAGGGTGGGTGAAGGCATCTCTAAGAGAAGGGAAAAGCTCCAAAGACCAAATGAGTACCTTCTCCTTCAAAGGATAGGTAGCAGGTTAGCTTGGCTCCAGCAGAGGCACTGAGCGGGAGGCTCTGGACAGGGCTTGAAATCCACCTGCCTTGACGCATCTCTGGTCTCTGCCTTCAGATGTGTCACCAGTGGTGGCTGGCCTCATCGGGGCCTCTGTACTGGTGGTGTGTGTTTCAGTGACTGTCTTTGTCTGGACATGCTGCCATCAGCAGGCAGAGAAGAAGCACAAGACTCCACCATACAAGTTTATTCACATGCTCAAAGGCATCAGCATATACCCAGAGACCCTCAGCAACAAGAAGAAAATCATCAAAGTGCGGAGAGACAAAGATGGCCCTGGGAGGGAAGGTGGACGCGGGAACCTGTTGGTGGATGCAGCAGAGGCTGGCCTGCTGAGCCGAGACAAGGATCCCAGGGGGCCCACCTCTGGATCTTGTATAGACCAATTGCCCATCAAAATGGACTATGGGGAAGAACTGAGGAGCCCCATTACAAGCCTGACCCCTGGGGAGAGCAAAACCACCTCTCCATCATCTCCAGAGGAGGATGTCATGCTAGGATCCCTCACCTTCTCAGTGGACTATAACTTCCCGAAAAAAGCCCTGGTGGTGACAATCCAGGAGGCCCATGGGCTGCCAGTGATGGATGACCAGACCCAGGGCTCTGACCCCTACATCAAAATGACCATCCTTCCTGACAAGCGGCATCGGGTGAAGACCAGAGTGCTGCGGAAGACCCTGGACCCCGTGTTTGATGAGACCTTCACCTTCTACGGAATTCCTTACAGCCAGTTGCAGGACCTGGTGCTACATTTCCTCGTCCTCAGCTTTGATCGCTTCTCTCGGGATGACGTCATTGGGGAGGTGATGGTGCCATTGGCTGGGGTGGATCCCAGCACAGGCAAGGTACAACTGACCAGGGACATCATCAAGAGGAACATCCAGGTGAGGAGGAAGAGCATGTTGGGGAGGGAAGGTGGGTTGGGGGAAACAAGGGGATAGGGAAGGGGGATTGGGAAGGATAGCAAAAAGGGCTATAGAGAGGTTAACGCAAGTTCTTGGTTATCAAGGATAAGCAGTGGTCAAAATAAAACAGAGGTCATGGCGGATTACTTCCTCCAGGGGCTGGGGATGTAGTTCAGTGGTAAAGCATTTGCCTCGCAAGCATGAAGCTCTGGGTTCAATGAAGCTCTGGGTTCAATTTCTAATACTTAAAAGTGAAGAGGAAAAAAAAAAAAAAAGATTTAATTCCTCCAAGAAGCAACTTTTAATAGTAAAGCACAGTGGCACTCTACTTTCTAGCTTAGAAAGTAGCAACGAGGCCAGGTGCAGTGGAAAATGACTGAAATTTTAGCAATTGGGAGGTTGAGGCAGGAGGAATGCAAATTCAAGGCCACCCACCCTCAGCAACTTATAAGACCCTGTCTCAAAAAATAAACAAGATTGAGGATATAGCTTAGTGGTAAAGCACCCATGGATACAATTGCTAGTACCAAAAATAAATAGAATTTTTAAAATATCTCTTTAAAATTTTTTAAAAATATTTCATGTAAGGAGCATATGGAAATACCTCTCATAGGGCATGAGTTAAGTAAACTTAGCCATCAGTGTTTTTTCTGTCTCTCTGTCCTCTCTCTTTTTATTATTTTACTTTGATTTTGTTTTTTATGGTACTGGGAATCTAACCCAGGGCCTTGAGCATGCCGGGCAAACACTCTTTCACTGAACTACACCCGCAGTCCCACCCTTTAGATTTTGAAATTGAAGTTCAAGAGGAAGTAGACTTTTAAAAAGATTTTCATGGTTTTTCTCTGCTAGATTAAAGCCCTGCATTTTGTCCTTACTCATAACATACATTTTGTCAGTTCCTGATTGTATCCATGGGAAGTCCCCACGGCCAGTTTAAAATCACAGGCTGGTTGCCCTTGCCAACCATAATGCTTCTGGGCTGTTTCATTTTGCAACTTGTCAGAATGTGATCAGAGAACGTAAACCCACTATGGGCCAAAACCAAATGGAAAGCAATCCCTTGTGAAAAAGCAAATGAAATGTCTGCTAAAACATCCAGAACCAAGCTGTTTTGAGCTAGGGGTGGGGCTTACTGGTAAAGTGCTTGCCTAGCCTGGGTGAGGCCCTGGGTTCAATCCCTAGCACAACAGAAAGAAAAGAAGAAAAAGAAAACCTCAGCCATCCAATATGGTAGCCATTAGCTACGTGTTTGTTTAAGTTTTAACTTAAATTCCATTAAAATGTTAGTTTCTCAGGCTGGGGATATAGCTCAGTTGGTAGAGTGCTTGCCTTGCAAGCGCAAGGCCCTGGGTTCGATCCCCAACACTCACACGCAAAAAAATTTAGTTTCTCTATCACACTTGCCATATTTCAATTGCTGGATAGGCACATGTGTGTAGTAACTACCATATTGGCCAGTCCAAATATAGAACATTGGACAGCACTGATCTAGAAAGAATTTTGGTATTGAGGATTGAACGACGTAGGGGAGCTTTGCTGTGGAGCTACATCCCCAATCCTTTTTTTTTTGAGACAGGGTCTCCCTAAGTTGTTTACTTATGATCCTCCTGCCTCAGTCTCCTGAGTTACTGGGATTACAGCATGTGCTCATCTCTGGAAAGAAATTTGGATTAATTTGGCTACTGCTCTTCTCTGTTTGCATGGAAAATAAAATGTTAACTAGGTTTAATGTCTATTTCTAGGGCCATGCTTGAATACTGAGTATCTAAATACTTCATATAAAGTCTTTGAATATAATTTTAACTTTACATGTAGAAAAAGAATAGATTGGGGGGAAAGGAAAGTTGGTTTAAAAAACAAAGAATTTTTTTTTTTTCTGCATGTGTGAATGATTCTGGGGGTTGAACCCACAGCCTCATGTTTTATTTATAAGAATAGTTTTATTTATAAGAATAATATTGATTATAAGATTATAGCTTAGCCTGTAATCCCAGCAGCTCAGGAAGGCTGAGGCAGGAGGATTGTGAGTTCAAAGCCAACCTCAGCAACATTGAGATGCTAAGCAACTCAGTGAGACCCTGTCTCTAAATAAAACAATTAATCTGGCTTAATGGCCGAATGCCCCTGAGTTCAATCCCCGGTACCAAAAAAAAAAAAAAAAAAGGTTATAGTTTAGGTTCCCTGGTTATTTGTTTAAACTGTTTTTCGAAATCATCTCCTGTAACAAAATCTTCGGAATCAAAATGACTGTCCCTTCCCTTGTTCTTTGGAAAAGTAGATAACTTCTATTTATCCTCTTGATTGTTTTTTCCCCTAAAATCACTTCTCAGGAACTTCTTCTTCTGATTGCCTCTTTCACTTTGGGCCATTTTACTTGGGCAGAATGCCCATCCCCACTCAGCTGCCCCTTTGTGATGCCCAAGTCTGCAGCCACCACCTGAATGCCCTTCCATTCTGCAGTGAAGGCCAGACCTTAATGTAGTTCTCTCTCCCTCCTTTTCTCTTTCCACCCAATTCCCATTCCAAGCAGCACTGTCAATGGCTCTTTCCTGTGAAAAGAGCCATTGAGGGCTGGGAGAGAGGCTGTTTCCCAGCCCCTGGGCCTAGTGAGGCAAAGAGGGTCTTGTGGGGGTGGGGCAGGCAAGCAGAAAGACAAGGGGGAGAAAGGATTTTAACCATGCCTGACAGTTTCTGCTCTCAGAGGGTGGGCTCCTTGGTAAGACAGAGGACCAGGAGCAGGGACCAGAGGAATGCATTCAGACGAAAGAAAGACTAGGTGAGGGTAAGTCTGTTTCCCTATAATTAGCAGAGCGGCCTCTTTCAGAGTTATATTCTAGCCAGAGTCTGCCCAAGCAAACCCATGCACCCTCAATAAACCTTTCTTGGGGCCTGAAGTCCTGAGAGCCACCTCCGCCCTAAATCACAACCATGAAGAAACAAAGAAACAAAACCTTAAAATTCCACCACATCCCCCTTTTCCCTCCCCTTAAAACACATATGTGACAACTCTCTTTATGTTCCAGGAAAACTGACTGTTCCTTTTACTTTCTCTCTTTTCAATCTCAATAGCTAGACTGGATGGCCTCTAAGGTCCTTTGTAAATCTTGAGATTTTAAGAGCCCTCTCATTCCCATGACCATTGTCCCAGGTCATCAACATGACCTGAAGAAATTCAGAGCACTCTAACAACTCTCTATTATCTACTTTGTCAATCATTTCTTTCCCACTGTGCCCTCCTTATCCCTGGCCTGCACCACCTCCCTTCTCTTTATGGGGGGTTTATTATGGGATAAAATGCAAGAAAACAAAGTTGTCACTTTTAAAAAAAAATAGTTTCAGGCTATGGATGTAGCTCCACGGTACAGTGCTTGTATAGCATGCATGAGGCTCTAAGTGGAGTACCAGGTATTGAAAAATAAATAAAATTTTAAAAATTAGTTCCACGAAGCTAGCCCAAATATATTGGGCATTATAGCTAATACTGTTACCTCCTTACATCAAGAATCAATTCTCTTTTAGACAGCAAAGTAGAGGGAGGTGTCTCATTATGTTGCCCAAGCTAGTTTCAAACTCCTGCTCAAGTAATTCTCCCTCCTCAGAATCTCAGAGTAGCTGGGGACTACACACCATGTGGCTGAGTTCCGGTTAATTTCTGAAGCTTCTTATATCTTTCTGCATATTTATGAGAGAGAAAATTGTGCTCCTAAAGTGATCCCGTTGGCTTTCATCATCCAGCCTAGAAGGAGACTAAGGCCCGGAAAGAATATTTATTTGCTCAGAGTCAGGCAGTGAAATGGACAGTCGGAAATGATGACCAGTCCTGAGCTTCTTCAAATGGAACACACTGACCAGGCTTAGTGGTGCGCACCTGTAAGCCCCGCAGCTCTGGAGGCTGAGACAGGAGGCATGGCGAAGCTCAAAGCCAGCCTCGGCAACTGCAAGGCACTAAGCAGCTCAGTGAGACCCTGTCTCTAAATAAAATACAAAACAGGGCTGGGATGCGGCTCAGTGGTCGAGTGCTACTGAGTTCAATCCCTGGTACCTAAATAAATTAATAAATCTGAGGGTTAGCTTGGGGGTAGAGTGCCCCTGTGTTCAATCTCCAATACAGGGAAAAAAAAAAAAAAGTTGTAATAATGAGGACAAGAAATTAATTTTTTGCTTGTGGTAGGGGGTTGTCTATAAAAATGTTATTCTTACCATTCCCTACCCAGGTATCTTTGGAGGAAGAGAATTCGGTCCCACGCTATGGGGAGGATGCCCTACACAGACCAGGAGAAGACTTCCCTGCATGTGTATAGTTCAGAGCAGGTCTAGCTGATGTTCACCAGAAAAGGCAGACTCACTCTTGGCTACAGTCGGAAGGGTCTGGGGTAGACATTTGGAACTGCACCCCTAGGAATCACAAGGATTCATGACCAGGGAATTCATGACCAGCATGAGTCAGATGAAATAGTCCTGTCTATAAGCATTGGTAGGGACACACAGGAGTGCAGCTGTGGGGCCGCACAGGCTCAGACGTCTTGTCTGGAGCTTCTCCTAGGAGATATGTTGCTCAGGATCCCAGCCCTGGCTTAGTCCTCATGAAAGGAATTAATAAAGTGGAAACAAACTTGGCTGTTGCCAAGAGCCCCTGGCAGTTTAGCAATTGCCATTGTCTGTCCTCTCTGTCCAGTGCCCTGGATTTGAGACTGTTTTGTTCCCAGCCCAAATCAGTCCTTTCCCTTGCCAGTCTCTTCCCAGCGGCAGCCTGGCATGAAGCCATCCTCTTCCATTCGCAGTCTTGGACTGCCAAGTGCATGAGCTGTGCGGAGGAGTCGGGCTGGTCAGTGGCTTTCCCAGGTTCGTGGCTACACTGTTGAAAGGATCCTCCTACAAGGAGAGAAGGATAGATGAAAGCAGGGAGTGGAGCAGCAGAGCTGCTGAAAAGGGTGTCAAAAAGGGACTAGGGGTGACAGAGGCCCGAGGAAAAGAGATGGGTGGACAGGAGAAGGCAGAGAAGGGGATGAAACAAGTCACTTTCTCCATCTCTATTCTTCTGACTCCAACCTCAGAGGATGCAAGGATCCCGCAGTGTTTGGCTCTAGGATGTCTCATTGTAACCTGGCATTGAACCAGCACCCCCTTTATGCTCTGACTGAATGCCTCCAACATTCTTCCAAATTCTTGGACTTCCCTGGCCCCCGGGGATTGGATCTGAATATGCCAGGTGGCAGAAGCAGTTTCTCTGGGCATGGCCAGTTGACTGCAGTGGGACAGGTGCCTACTACATAGCAAAGAGGCAAGAACACACACCCAGAGGGTGCGTTCCTGCTCCCCCACCCACAGCCTTGGTGCAGTGTGAGGCTTCAGTGGATGAGCATTCCTGGACACTGACTGCACTCCCCACCCCTGCTGGTCTAGGAGATTCTTCTGTCCATTTCCGAGCCCCCTGATTCTCCTCAGAGTCTGGAGTGGGCTTGCAGGTGGAAAAGACACCAAGAGAGACGTGCAGCATCTATAGCAAAGCTCTTTCTAGAAGATGTGCAGTTGGTTTTCAGTGGCCTTTCTAAACCTCCTTCTCCACTGATTCAGGCTTCCTTATCTTTCTTTGCTTTGTCAAAACAGAATATGAACATCTACAAACCACACATAGCTCCCAGGTATCAAAGTTGGTTAATAATAGATATAATAGTAATGGTCACAGTTTACTGAAGTCTTACTACGTGCTAGGTAGCATGTCAAATCACCCATTTTACTTTATTCCTATAAGAAACTATGGCTTAGAGAAATTAAACAGCTTGCCCAAGGTTGTTTAGCTGGTGGAATTTGGATTTAGACTCAGTTTGACTTCAGAGTCGTCACTATTAGCCACTTATGTTTACCCTGAAAAAGGAATAAAACTCTCTCTATAAAATTTTAGCTAGGCAGCCAGGTGTGATTGCACATGCTTGTCATCCCAGTGGCTCAGGAGTCTGAGGCAGGAGGATGGTTGAGTCCAAAGCCAGCCTCAGCAATTGAGCAAGGCCTTAAGCAATTCAGTGAGACCCTATCTCTAAATAAAATATCAAAAAGGGCTGGACGTGCAGGTCAGTGGTTAAGTGCCCCTGTGTTCAATTCCTGACCAAAAAAAAAAATGTATCCAGACACAATGGCACACTCCGATAATTTCAGCAACTTGGGAGGTTGAGGCAGGAGAGTCACAAGTTCTAGGTCAGTCTCAGCAAATTAATGAGACACTATCTCAAAGTTTAAATAAATAAAAGGACTGGGGATGTAGCCCAGTGGTAAAGCATCCCTGGGTTCAGTATCCAGTACCATACACACACACACACACACACACACACACACACACACACACACACACCAATAATAACAATAAAATAGAGGCTGAGAGGGGTTGAGTAATGTACCCATTGTCACCTAGGAGGAAGGAGTAAGCTGTAAAATGAAGGCAGTCCAATTCTAGAGAAAGCCCAGTGTGTAACTGCACCATTAGTTTGCTTCCCCAGTTAGGAAAGAAAGGACCCATGAGCTAGTGGGGTGGGATAGAGACACTTCCTGTATTCCTCAGCTAACCCAAGCCAATGTTGGCCCCCTGGGAAGAGAGAGAGAGAGAAGGCTCTCATTCTCCTTCTGATGCAAACGGGGAAAGGAGGAAGGGAGAGGGAGAGGCCTATATGGCAAAGGGTTGGGACTGGAAGGGTGAAGTAATTCATTAAATCAGATGTATAAAATACTTATAAAAAGACAGGTACATGAGACTATTTATACCCCTACATTTGGGGTGGGAAAAGGGATCTGAGGGAAAATTACTAAACTATGTTTTTATTTTATTTTATTTTGGTACTGGTGATAGATCCCAGGGGTGGTTAGCCATTGAGCTACATCCCCAACCCTTTTTATTTTTTCTTTTGAGACAGGTTCTCACTAAGTTGCTGAGGCTGGGTTTGAACTTGCACTCCTCCTGCCTCATCCTTCCAACTCACTGGGACTAGCAGTGTGCACAACCACAACCATATCCACCCAAACTAGTTTTTTGAGTTTCTCAGTAGTGAGAAATAAGTTCAGTGGAGGAAGATCACATCATTTTGGAGAATTAATTAATTACTCCCCAGGTTCCTGATGTAATGAAGGGTCTAGTACTGTGGTCCAGCTTGTTTGAGGCAAACTGGACACAGCATCTGCTCTCTTTCTCTCTCTCTCCCTCTCTCTCTCTCTCCCTCTCTCTCTCTCTCCCTCTCTCTCTCTCTCTCTTTATTTTTTGGTACTAGAAATTGAGCCCAGGAGCACTCTACCTCTGAGCTACATCCCAAGTCTTTTTTATTTTGAGGCAGGGTTTGGCCAACTTGCCCAGACAGGCCTTTAACTTGCAATCCTCCTGCCTCAGCCTCCAAGGTCGCTGTGATTATAGGTGTGTGGCGCCAAACGCAGCCAGTCTGTTTTACTCAATCAAAGCAATCCTGGAGTAGGTGACAGTTCTTTGGGGTCTGAAAGAATACAAAGAATGCAGTTTGATAACAGGGAGATAATATTGTCCCACATTTAACTTCTGTCCTAAATTCTTCCCTTTTACTTTTTTTCTTGTCTCAGCCTCATTTCTGTTTCCTTGGCCCATTACAGGTGCCTCTGACTTTGACCTTTCCCTACTTTACTTCATTCTCCAACTGTCTCTAAAGTCATGGTCATTTTAATAAAATAACAGCATTGCTACTTGTATTCTTACAGACCTCCTCTTGCCTGTGAGTGGCAAACTGTCATTTTGTCCCTACAGTTCATCGCCCTAGCGTAGCCCACTCACCCTCCCAGGTTTCTGACAAACTTCCCAACTTCACACACCCTCACCTCTCACCATTCTCTGAACATTGCATACACTTTTAGGTCCCTGTTGCTGGGGCTATACATTATCTTTCTGCTCATCTGTTCATTGCCTCAGACTTATTTTTTTCCCTAATACTGGGAGTTGAACCCAGGGTATGAACTATATCCCTCAGCCCTTTGGAAAACTTTAAGCCAGTGTCTCACTAAATTGCTGAGGCTGGCCTCAAACTTGTGATCCTCCAGCCTCAGCCTCTTAAGTCGCTGGAATCACAGGTTTGTGCCACTGCACCAAGCTACCTCATATTTTTTTTTTATCCTCTATCAATTTAGCCCAGATATCAGCTAGAAAAGTCAACTGTGCTTCTCCAAGCCGTGTCAGCCTCATTCTTCTTGGGTACCCAGAGCACTTAGAACAGACTTCTTATTATTCTGACAAGTATACGTATATTTGCATCTCTATGTCTTGCATGCTAAACTCCTGGGGAGCAAGAACTGAGTCCTGTCAGCTCTGAATTCCTAGTATGTAACTTGTAGTAAGTATCCAAATGTGGTTCAAATGTTAAGGGCCAGTTGGACATGATGGTGCATGCCTTTAATCCAGTCACTCTGGAGACTGATGCAAGAGGATTGCATGTTCAAGGCCAGCCTCAGGAATTTAGTGAGGCTCTAAGAAACTTAGCAAGACCCTGTCTCAAAATAAGGAATAAAAAGGACTGGGGATATAGATCATTTGTAAAGCACCCTTGTGTTCAATTCCTAGCATAGATTGATAGATAAATAGAGATGGGGGAAGGAGGACTGGGATGGAATATAAGTAAGAAAGTGTTTGCCTAGCCTTCAGGAACTCCTAGGTTCAACCCCCAGTACTGCAAAAATAAAAGGTAAATAAATAAAAAATAGTTCTTCAAAGCATAGAGTTTTCCCCAGAATTCAGAATACAGCCTAGAATAAATGAAAAGACATAAGAACAAAGATGAAGAGGCAGGTAAAAGGGCATCTTGGAAAAGGTACTGAAGTGCACGCACTGAGGCGGGTAGAACAGGTATGGGTATTCACCTTGCAAAATGGAGGAATAAGCTTCAGAAAGTTCAAGGTCTTGCCCGTGGCCTCGTGGTAAGTGGCAAAGACTCAAACCCAAATCTCCTACCTCTTCACCAAGGTCTTCAAAACTTTTTGTTTTTTCTTTCTTTCTCTCTTGCTTTCTGTGCTGAGGATTGAAGACAGGCCTTGTGCACACTAAGCTTGCACCCTACCACTGAGATACACACCCAGCTCCAATTAAAAAAAAAAAAAGTTTTGTTTTTCCTTTTTAGTGTGGGGATTGAACCCAGGACCTTGTGTATGCTAGGCAAGTGCTCTACCACTGAGGCCTTTTTTGTTTTTTATTTTGAGACAGAGTCTCACTGAGTTGCTGAGTCTGGCTTTGAACTTGCAGTCCTCTTACCTCATCCTCCCAGATTGCTAGGGTGACAGCACCACTACACCTGGCAAAACTTTATTTTCTCCCTAGAATCAAATGAGAGAATACTAAGTGCTGGGCGGTGTTGTAATTTCCAAATTTGAATCCATTTGATCCTAATAATCCTATGAGGTAGGTATTATTAGGAAACTGAAGTGCAGAGATGGTGAGTAACTTGTCCAAGGTCATTGATAGGAAATAGCACTTGCCTCAACTTCCCTGATGTGAAAAAAATTTAAAAAGAAAGAAAGAGCAGTCTAAGTCTGAAACAGCAGGCCACTCTGGCCCCGGAGTCCATGCTCCTGACTGTGAGGCTGTGCGCTCTTCCATGCCAAAGATCGTACTTAATTTCAGAAGAGATTCTGCTTCCTTTCCCCTGTGTTAAACAGGATCATAACTTCCTCGCAGAGAATGTACATCTTTCCTGTTCATCCCTGCCTCTCTTTCCACTCCTCTGTACAGTTTCTGGGCCATGCCCTACTCCCTCCTTCTGGGTTCTCACCTGCTCTTTCTCTCTTACAGAAGTGCATTAGTAGAGGGGAGCTCCAGGTGTCTCTGTCATATCAGCCGGTGGCACAGAGAATGACAGTGGTGGTCCTCAAAGCCAGACACTTGCCGAAGATGGATATCACCGGTCTCTCAGGTAGCAGCTATTTACTTCAACCTACGTGTGACCATCTGAACCACACTCCTTGCCTGTGGCCCAGACATACCCCACATTTCAGGAGCCCTTGCCTCTGACTTTATGTCCAATAGATTTCCCTAGGAGGGGAAGTACTCTGGGTGAGCAAAGGAGGTATTTACATTTCACTAGGTATCCTAAAAGGTCTGCACGCCAGGAGCTGAGCATTGCTCCAGAAGCCATGACTTCTCAAAACTTCCCGATACAGGAAGAAAATACCCCTTAACTTCCCACTGATTGCATAAACACAATTTGTATCTTTTTTACAATACCTTATGATTATTGGAGTGGACCTTAGGCTGTGGTATTCAGAATTCATTAAATTATCTGTGGTAAATTCATTAAATTATACTTATAAAAATCCTGTAAGGGCTGGGGCTGGGGCTCAGTGGTAGAGCACTTGCCTGGCATGTGTGAAGCACTGGGTTCGATTCTCAGCACCGCATATAAATAAATAAAAATAAAGGTCTGTCAACAACTAAAAAAAAAAAAAATCTTAAAAAAAAAATCATGTAATTCACTGGGTATGGTGGTGCATAACTGTAATCCTAGTGGCTTGGGAGGCTGAGGCAGGAGAATTGCAAGTTTGAAGCCAGCCTCAACAACGTAGTGAGGCCCTAAGCAACTTAGTGAGATCCTGTCTCAAAAGCAAAAACAACAGGGCTGGGGTTATGGCTCAGCGGTAGCGCACTTGCCTGGCATGTGTGAGGCACTGGGTTCAAGTCTTAGCACCACATATAAATAAATAAATAAATAAATAAATAAATAAAGGACAGTCATCAAACATTAAAAAAAAAAAAAAAAAAAAGAAAGAAAAAGGGCTGGGGATGTGGCTCAGTGGTTAAGTGCCCCTGAGTTCAATCCCTGGTACAAAAAAAAAAAAAAAAATTATGCAATTTAAGGATAAACTTCTTGTTGTAAGTCTTATATACTATTGATAATATTGTAAGTTCCTTACAACTACTGACCCATTGATTTAGGTCAACATACTTAATGACTTTTCCATTGGTAATAACTGGGAGTGGAGGAAAGTGTTTATTGTACAGTGTCAGAAGAACAACTTTATAAATGCCTTCATGTGGTGTTATCTTTATACACTGAAGCAACAGCTTTGCAACAAAATTAAAAACAAAATATTTAACTTTGGGGAGAAAAAAAAAAAGGGCTGGGTTTGTAGCTCAGTTTTGGAGCACTTGCCTAGCACATGTGAGCCACATAAAAATAATTAAATAAAGGTATTGTGTCCATTTACAACTAAAAATATATTTTTAAAAAACTGCTTCTTTGTTAACTGGGCTTGGTGGCATATGCTTATAATCCCAGTGACTTTGGAGGCTGAGATAGGAGAATTGTAAGTTCAAGGCCAGCCTCTGCAATTTAGCAAAATAAAAAATAAATAAATAAAAATAAGTGGGATGAGACAGAAAGATTGTAAATTAAGGCCAGCCTCTGTAAGTTGGTGAGGCCCTCAGCAACTTAAGAAGATCCATTTCAAAATAAAGAATAAAAAGACTGGAGATGTAGTCAGTGGTAAAGTGCTCCTGGGTTTCCATCCCCAGTACCAAAAATAAAAATAAATAAAAGTTTGGCCCGGGATGTAGCTCAGTGAAAGACCACTCCTGGGTAAAATCCCTAGTGTGACCAAAAAGAGAAAGAAAATGCTTGCTTCCGTCCTGATGAAGGAAGTTGCTCTGTCCTGCTCCTGTTGGTTTTCTTGGCCCTCTGTCAAGCGGACAGACTCACGCGCAGTGTGTGTGCATTTAGAAGCCGTCCCTGGAGACTTTGTTGGGGTGGTCACCAAAGCTCTGAGTAGCAGAGTCCCAACCTGAAATGATGGTTATATGAGAGGACCGTGTCATAGGCTTGTCTCTCTTTTTCTTGTCTCCTTGGGGGCCCCAGATCCTTACGTCAAGGTGAACGTCTACTACGGCAGAAAGCGCATTGCCAAGAAGAAAACCCATGTAAAGAAGTGCACTTTGAACCCCATCTTCAATGAGTCTTTCATCTATGACATCCCAACCGACCTCCTGCCTGACATCAGCATCGAGTTCCTCGTCATCGACTTCGATCGCACCACCAAGAACGAGGTGGTGGGGAGGCTGATCCTGGGGGCACACAGTGTCACAAGCAGCGGTGCCGAGCACTGGAGAGAGGTTTGCGAGAGTCCCCGCAAGCCTGTAGCCAAGTGGCACAGTCTGAGCGAGTACTAATCCTGTTCTTCTCGCCTCTAACCCTGGGGCCAGGCTGGGGAGGGACGTGGTGGGGAGAGATGTCAGAGAAGCGGACTCAAAACCTCATTATAGTTGTAGAAGAAAATTTCTTACAAAAACAAACCCGACAAGGAACATCCCACATCACCACAGCCGCAGATCAGTTCTTAAGCAAAGACGATTTTTTTTTTTTTCTCCTTTGCAAGGCACTAGAAATTCTTTTGTTTTTTTAAATGGGGCGGGGAAAGAGAGGGAAAGACCCCTACAAGTCTATATATAACACTGTAACCTTATACTTGCATGTCTAATACAAACTGAAGAAATTAGCCTAATTGCCAATATCAAGTTGCAGATTTTAATCCATGAAAATTGTGTTTTGTGCCGAATCGTATTTGCTGATTACCTGAAATTGGCCTCTTTTTACTGGGCTTCTCTGGAGAGTTAGTCCTTCTCCCCACCTTGGCAGAAAACAAATTTTTGCTCTTGTAAAGCCTCATGTTTTCACTATCTCCATCTTTTCTCCCTGTTACCTCTCACGTCTCTGCTCTTTGGCTGAGACCAAGGTCCAGAGGTCTATAGTAAGCCAAGAAACAAAGGTTGAGTGAAAAGGCAGGGTTTGCAAGAGAAGGAGTAATTGAGCAGGGGGGTATTTTTGCTGTTAGTCTTCCTGCTCTGAAGGGGTAGTTGGTAGTCTGTGACTCACTGGTAGCCCCAGCAAAGCACATAAAACTCATCAGACTTACCAGGAAGAATTTGGATTTACAAAACTAGACAATTTCTTTAAAAGGAGCTTTGGAGGCTTCAAATTCAGCTCTAGGAGACTACCAGTGAACTCATCCAGATGATTCCAAATTTTATTTGCAGGTATGAGGACAAGGAGGAGAGAAATGAGAGGACTACCATCCCCTTTGGTAGTTATATCCGGTAGTGACAGCCGTTCCTTAGCTGATGGGCTGGAAGTCCTCAGAGGTTGGAAGGATTACATTGGCCTTTGTTTTTCCAGGAAGGCTGACATGGAGAAGAATTAGAATCTTCTCAGGTGACTCAGATGTTACAATGAAGTCAGTTTTGCTTCTTGAAAGGCCCTCAGAAATGATTATTTCTCCTTGAAATTTTCAATAATAGCTCTTAAAAAAATAACAGTGTGGCTGAGTAGTAATGGTAACTTGAGGTGGGCATAGTTGGTGCCCATCAACTCAGGAGGCAGAGGCAGGAGGATTGCAAGTTAGAGACCAACCTGGGCAACTTAGCAAAACCCTGTCTCAAAATAAAAAATAAAGGGGCTGGGGATATAGCTCAGTTGGTAGAGTGCTTGCCTCACAGGCATAAGGCCCTGGGTTCAATCCCCAGCACCACAAAATATATATATATATATATATATATATATATATATATATATAAATGAATAAAAATAAAAAGGGGTAGGATGTAGCTCAGTGGTAGAGTCCCTGGGTTCCATTCCTAGGACCACAAGATAAAAAGAAAAGTAACCTGAATGTTTTCAGAACCTCTTTTCCCTCAAAACAAAGTGCATCATTCTTGGAACTTCTGAGTCTCATGACATGGTAAAGGGATGAGGGAAACACTGGGCAGAACAGGTTGAGAGATTCAGTGTTGTGCTGGAATTTGAATTCAGGACTCCTCACCCCTAGTGCAGCCATGTCTCCACGGTTGAGACTTTTCACATGGCAGAGGCCTCATTACCCACGGGTGAGCTTGGACAGGCAGTACAGATTTTTATTTCAGTCTGAAGAGGAACGCAATCAAATAAACAACAGCTTGATCCAGGGCCTGGAAGAGTAACCGAGATTGGATTGTCCACTTCAATCCACAAGATCCTTCCTTTCCAACTTGCTTCTGAGAAGGGAATACAAGAGTTGAGTCTGCATGGACAGGGTGGTATGGTAACATTGCCTTTGTTGTTCCCTTAGCTCTAGTGGATTTAAATCCCATCTGTACCCCCCACACACCCCAGTTCTTTTGTTTGTTTGGTTTTTTTGAACCCATATTTCTTGACAATGTAGAGCAGTTCTGTGCAGGCACAAAGCCCACTCTCTGTTTGTATTCCTGACATTCCCCCTAGTCCAACTCACTATCTCATTCATCATCATTTGGGGTCACGCACCACTAGTCTCTGTCCTTTAATCTATAGAGTGTAAATACTGTATCATACGTAGAAGAAAATAATTTTTGTTTTCTAAAAATGCATTTCAAGATAGTTTAATGTAAATTTGGCAGGAGCACTCTGAAGCCCCATTAGGAAAACTTTTAAATGGTTCCTCTTCATCGCCTTAATGTCTAAAGATCAGAAATCGCTAAGCAACCCGCTTTTGTTTCCTTCCCAGAAACAATGCAAAGCAACAGGTGGAGGTAGTCTGGTCTTTGCCCTGCTGTGTGTGCCTCTGTAGCTCCTCCTGACGTCAGTCTGGGAAGACAACCTCACCCCACTCCTCTCTCCCCACCTCCTTGTAGCTTTATACCTTTCATTCTTTGGGTCTACGGAGCAGAGGATGGTGAGGTGCCAGGGGAGGAACCAGTGGTCCTGTAGGCTAGGAGCTGCCTCGGTGTCTTTGCCAGAAAAAGGCGAAGAGGTGGACAGTATAGGGTTCCCCCCTCCTACCTCAGGCCTGATCCATCGTGCCCTGCATTTTGCTGTCCCAAAGTTTCTTAGCTAACTTTGGTTTTCGAATTTGTTCTTTCCAGAGCTAACTGGGAAGGGTGGAGTCAGTTGAAAGACAAGAGAGTCACATCCTACGTTTTGCACAAAGCACTCGTGGTCAGGAATAGGTTAGGGAATGGTCACTTCTGATTTTCCAAGAGCCAGTCCTTCTGTCTGTATATCTTGATTCCCTTGAGACAAGAGTTTTTCGTAATAACAGAAGTCCCTGTATGAGTTATTCCTTATTTCAGTTCTCAGAGGAGCACAGCCAAGATGTACATGTTGATGGACCGTGCTCTAGGTATGAGAACAGAGCTGGTTTGAGGGACAGGGGTGGCTTGCTCAGGAGAGGGAAAATGCAAGTCCCTTTTGGAAGGCTTTTACTATGGCCATGACAGTGACATTGCCCTCACCATGATCCCTCTCCAAAGTGGTCGTCTTTCTTTACCTTGTGTCTTCTCTTGTAAAAATGAAACAAAAATAAAATAAATGTGTCAAATTAAAAAAAACAAAAAAAAAAACACAAAAAAACAAATGAAAAAGCTAACATGAATTGTGTGAAATTGCATAATGCTGTAACGCTAACCTACAATATGTAATGCTATCTTGTATGTTGAATTTGTTAATGCACCACACCAGTGCAAAATAAAGACTGATTCACATTAAATAGTCACAGTAATGTCAGCATGATTCTCTTGGAAACTGGTTGGCTATGAATGAAGTTAACACTCAGACCCCCAAGGATGTCCTAGGGCATGTTTTCCCAAGACCACCCGATTCCGAATCGTCTGGGGCATTTGTTTACAAGTGCAGATTCGAGCCAGGTGTGGTGGTGTATGCCTATAATCCCAATGACTCAGGAGGCTGAGTCAGGAGAATTGAAAGTCTGAAGTCAGTCTGGACAATTTAGCAAGACCCTATCTCAAAAAAATAAAAACAAAAGAGGGGCTGGGGTTGTGGCTTAGTGATAGAGCACTTGTTTTGCACATGTGAGGCACTGGGTTCAATCCTCAGCACCCCATAAAAATAAATAAACAAAATAAAAATATTGGGTCCATGTATAACTAAAAAAATTTTTTAAATAAAAAATAAAAGGGCTGAGATATAATTCAGTGGTAGAGTGCCCTGAGTTTAATACTTAATATATGGTGAATCCTCCTGCTTCAGCTTCCAGGATAACTGAGATTATAGGCATGTACCACTGGTGGGTGCTTTTCTGTCTCTTGTGCCCTGTGCTGGGGATTGAACCCAACTGCATCCACATTTCATATTTCCTTTTTTTCTTCCCTTCTTTTTTTAAATAATTTTTAAAATTTTTTATTTTTACACTAAGGACTGAACCCAAGTGCACTTAACCATTGAACTACACCTCTACTTTTTGTGTGTGTGTGTGTGTGGTGCTGGGGACTGAACCCAGGGCCTTGTGCGTGCAAGGCAAGCTCTCTACCAACTGAGCTATATCCCCAGCCCCTCCACTCTTTTTATTTTTTAGACAGAGTCTCACTAAGTTGCTGAGGCCTTGCTAAATTGCCCAGTCTGTCCCCGAACTTAGAGATCCTCTTGTTTCAGTCTCTCAAATTGCTGGTATTATAAGTGTGTGTCACCATGCTCAGTCCTAGTTCATATTTTATTTTATAATTAACACTTAAAATTATACATATTTATGACGTGCAGCACAGTGTTTCATAATATGTGCACATTGTGGAATGGCTAAATCAAGCCAAATAGCATATATATAACACCTTGCATTGTTTATGCACTAGTTATCATTTATTGGTGATGAGAACCACATAAATTCAGCAATTTTCAAGTGTACAGTACATGGTTATGTAACTATAATCATGTTGTACATTAGATCTCTTGAACTTATTCTTCCTGCGATTTTATATACTTTAATCAACATCTTCCCAATATATATCCCTCATTGTTTTCTTTTTAATAACAATAGCAAAAATAGCTAGGATTGAATTTTCTTTCAGTACTGGGAATTGAATCCAGGGGTCTTCTATCACTGAGCTACATCCCCAGTACTTTTTTAAAAAATATTTGTTTAGTTGTAGATGGACACAATATCTTTATTTGTTTATTTGCTTTTATGTGGTATTAAGGATTGAACCCAGGGCCTCACACTTGCAAGGCAGCCGCTCTACCACTTAGCTACAGCTACAGCCCCAGTATTTTTTATTTTTTCTTCAAGATATGTCTCACTAAGTTTCCCTGACCAGCCTGGAACTTGTGATCCTCCTGCCTCAGTTTCCCAAATCTCTGAGATATTACAGGCATGTGCCACTGCCCTCAGCTATGGATTGAATATTTACCAATTTGGATATATTTTAATCATATAAAACTCATTTATATCTTACAATCCTGTTGGAAATATACTATTATTATTCCCATTTAACAGATGAGAATAATGAATTCCAAGAGGTTAAATAACTTGCTCCAAGTTCACATAGTCCATAAACAGTGGAGTCTGTGGCAGTCAGACTCCAATTTCTGTATATTTCCACCATTGCTACTGGTGGAGATTTCAAAGACTCAAACAGAGCCTGATGGGAACTAATGCAAATTAGATTGTGCTCATGATTTGATGCCAATGTCCTCAAGAATGTTTCAGAGGATCAACTGCAATAGTATGAAGCTGAACATTTTTATAATTAATGTTCACTCACATCAAATTGACCACTTGTTGAACATTTTTGCAAGTTAATATTGGATTAGTGTTTACAGAGCAGTTGAAGTTACTGCTTGTCCCTTATTCCTCTGCCTTTCCCATTGTAAGATCTCTCATCAGATTTTGCACTTTATAATTAGAGGTGCCCATAGAACAG